GGGAGCAAGTTTGGGGAGGTGGAAGTAAAAAAAAGTGTGGTGTGCAATATAGTACATTATACAGCAGCGCAATGTAGAATACCAGCAGCTTTAGAGGAATACAACAAATCGCAGCGATAGTACACTGTAGTGTACTATTGCTGGGATTTGTAGTTCCTCTATAACTGCTGGTATTCTGCATTGCGCAGTATAATCATTATACAGCGCAATGCAGAATAAGGCCAGCTACAGAGGAACAGCAAATCCCAGCAATAATACATTATACAACGCGATGGAGAATAAGGCCAGCTACAGAGGAACAGCAAATCCCAGCAATAATACATTATACAACGCGATGGAGAATAAGGCCAGCTACAGAGGAACAGCAAATCCCAGCAATAATACATTATACAACGCGATGGAGAATAAGGCCAGCTACAGAGGAACAGCAAATCCCAGCAATAATACATTATACAACGCGATGGAGAATAAGGCCAGCTACTAAAGTGTGGTGTGCAATATAGTACATTATACAGCAGCGCAATGTAGAATACCAGCAGCTTTAGAGGAATACAACAAATCGCAGCGATAGTACACTGTAGTGTACTATTGCTGGGATTTGTAGTCCTCTGTAGCTGGCCTTATTCTGCATTGCGCTGTATAATTTATTATTGCTGGGATTTGTAGTCCTCTATAGCTGGTGGTATTCTCCATTGCGCTGTATAATGATTATACTGCGCAATGCAGAATACCACTGACCAGTTATAGAGGAACTACAAATCCCAGCAATAATACATTATACAACGCGATGGAGAATAAGGCCAGCTACAGAGGAACAGCAAATCCCAGCAATAATACATTATACAGGCTGATTAATATATTATTGCTGGGATTTGGTGTTCCTCTATAACTGCTGGTATTCTGCATTGTAAGATACAGCGGCACAATGTAGAATACCACCGACTAGATATATATATATATATATATTGTGGCCAGTGGCGTAACAACCGGGGGGCAGCAGGTGCGTTTGCCCCAGGCGCACAGCTGAG